CTAGACGCATCTCGCCCTGTGTTGTTGATTGAAACAGTGAATCACGAACTGTAATTCAGGAACCGAAATTTAGCGGCAGCCATTTCAAATACCATATATTTTGAGTCAGTGAGGAGCGAAGCAAACCGGAGCAAAATCTGATTTGGAAAAACTTACGGATTGCTGACACCCTTCTGATTATAAATTCATATCCTGATAAGCACAACTATATAACACGCTTTGCACAAAGATGAAAACAAGTCTTCGAAAAATTCGCAAATCCCTCTGACGGCTCAAAAAAAGTAATTTACTCATTAAACGCAAAATATAATCACAAAGCAGGAGTCGTATTTCTAACTTAATGCCATCTCGAAAAACTCCCACGCTTTGACAAGCGTTTGAGTGATTATAAGTGAGCGGTCGATAGCTATGTATTTCCTTATTGAGTCAAACTATGAATCCAATTTACAGTAGTCAAGCTGGCTGAGCTGAGGCGACGCCATTTCCAGTTCCATGTTTTCACTCGGCTTCCGTTTCCGATTTCCTCCACTTTAAAACTGCTTTTGATTCACTACATTATCCGACGATGTGGAAAATCTTGTAATGCTATGAAATGTCTCGGTTGATCGCTTTCCTATTGGAAGAGATCGATGCAGGGATCGCGTCTAGTGTCAAGGTCTTTGGAGAGCCATCTGAGCGGCTGACTCCATATTTACTCTGAAGCTTGTCTGAAGGATAATGTGCCTTCCTTTTGCTATATGAAACATATTCACCAAAACAGTGCCGACCCTTGCCAAGACGAATGTCTCATCTGGAGAGAAGGCGAGGCATAAGATACTTGATCAGAGAGCTTGCTGACCTGGAGTGTACGGATGATATTGTTCAGGAAAGAAGTGCGAACTCTGTCATTTGGCGACAGCTATATGTGACGTTGCCCTGAAAGCCGACCTTCTCCTTAACGCCCGGAAGTCAGTAGTTATGTGGAACCCGTCTGGCTTAGATAATCTGCAGTCGACCAAGGCAAAGCAGATGAATCGGTGAAGAAGGTAGGCGTTATAGTTCCGAGTGCTCTTGGAAATCTAGCCAGTAATTGTGCTGAGCAGGGCGCAAGTCTTTCTACAGAAATCTGCCCGCAGTTCCGGTCAGGTCAGTGTTCTGTTTGGCATCCACATAGCTGTTTTAGCGAGGGATCAAGAACGACGGATGAACTGTATACATCAGCTTCGCTTCTACGTATGAGGGAAATCAAACGCAATACCTCGCAGAGAATGGCTTTATTCTCTTCCAGACACGTGACGTCAGCAGAAGAGGAGATCGAGGAAAGGAAGTTGGCATTGTCAGACCCATCGGTTGAGCGTAAACAATCTACTGATCTCGGATCTGCTCTCAGAAACGAAGTGTCACTGCTGCTATGTGATAACTGCTTTTGCCTTAAGCAAATGAGTTCAAACTCTGTGAACATAGTGTACATCATAAACTTGAAACGATCCGCTTGAGCAAACGGCGCAAGGTGATAATCTGAATAAACATGTTTATCGTTCCATCTTCAGAGGCTAGAAATCAAACAGCTAACAACTCATTCGCGCGAGAGTCACGCTCGAAATGCTACGTGTGATTGATCACGCATTTCGTTGCATTGCCGCTCTCTGAACCATAATACGTCATGCCGTTCAACAACGGCGCTCATAGCGAAACCCTTCTCATCTATCTCATGTGTTTCATTTTTCAGAAACATAACTCTTGATACGTGATTCAACATTTGAAAGGACCAAGGTGCGTTTCACGGCGTGTTCATCAACTTGCTAATTTATCTGTGCGATGGCAATCCGGCATTAAAGCAAAATATTCCCTCTGATTGTTTCTCTTCACACTGTTGTTATTTTTTTCATATTTTGTTGTGGCTGATTGGTCAATTAATTCACGCAGATAGCCGGAGGTCGTTGGTAACTGAGGGTCGGTCTCCATTGCACAGTGAGTAAGATGTCGGCTTAGAACTTCGGAAACTTTTCTCATAACCACGAATTCACTTAAGCAGAGAATTTACCACACCGAGGATGCTCAGTGGGTAAAGCATTGGACTCAGATCCGAGAGGCCTCAGGTTCGTTGCCTGGTCAGGGTCACTCGCATTTCTTGCTTCAAAGCTTGACAGATGAGTACCATTCTATGGGAAGGAAGCAGGCCACGCTTGCCATAAAGCTTCTGTCGACTCTGCCTTTAGTAAAGAGACACTCCTGGCTGACGGCATGAAAATCGATATCCCCCCCCCAAACATTATATTCATGAAAGAAAGACGCCAGAATGGCTCCATCAGTAACGTGTCAAGAGGACGGACACAGCAACGGTTGAGGACTTTTCTTTCCCTCATTTCCATCTGCAAGGAGTAAGCTGCCTGCTGATTTCGTTCAGTTTTGCGTATGGCCATGAGTGCTTATATGATCAGCCGATTTATCCCCTTCAAAGTCGTGAGAGCCTACAGCAAACCCTGGACCTTTGCTAGAGGTCGTTGGATCTTGCTCTGAACGGAATAAGTATTAGTTTCGCATTCGATTCCCTCCTAAACTACATAGTGTTAGTCGTAGTTTAGTAACAAACACTTGTTCAGTGTTTAGTCCTCTGAAAGGCACTCGGGTTTATGGCACGACTACTGTTAGCACTAAAAAACTACTGCTGTTCATTTCTCTTGCAGAGCGTTGAATTAGTACTATGTTTGGTTGCATCTATATGTCTTGTTTTTTGTTTCAGAAGAAAAACGAAGCCATCGTGTAGGATCTGGAAAATCAACCGTAAGTGCCAGACATGTCATTCAAGTGTTCCATGTCCAACTACCTGCTGCACGAGGACAACTCGACCGAGCTTGTGCTGAATACCATTCGGCAGATCAGTAAGCAGTACCAGCCGGTGCACGTGCGGTTATGCATCACGCTTTGCACGTTCGGCACGTGCACAAACGTGCTCAACTTCCTCGTCCTTACTCGTCCGCACATGCGAACGTCGTGCAACATGATGCTGGCCATAATCGCCCTTCTGGATATGAGTCTCATGCTGTTGTACATGGTGTACATAATCCATTTTAACGTCGCCAGTGCCGAGCAGTGCGAGCAGCTGACGTACACATACGGCTGGACCCTGTTCCTGTTGATACACGCATTAGTGAGTATTGTTCTGCACACGACCAGCTTATGGCTGACAGCTCTGCTAGCATTGGTTCGCCTTGTGGTGCTGAGAAACAATCAGGTGACCAGCCGACTACTGTCCATCGCATTCGTATTCAAACTGTTCTTCTGGGTGTCCGGCATCATCATATTGTTCGCTCTGCCGTCGACACTGGCGTTTGGCGTGGAGGCGATCGTGGACGAGAGAGGATGCATTCATAACGGTCGCAACATCACCACGATTTACATGGTGATGCCATCCGATTTGGGGACGCTGAAGGACTGTCTGCTGCTGAAAGTCACTTTCTGGGTGAATGGCTTGATCTTCAAGGTCGTACCTTGCATCGTGTTGCTTTTCTCGATCATCGGACTGGTCAGAACATTGGGTGAGGCGAAGGCGAGGAGCGAACGCATTGGCGGACTGAGGAAACGGCGATCGGCCAAGTACTTCAGCCAGTCGACCACAAAGATGCTCGTCGCCGTCGTGTCCATATTCCTGATCACCGAGTTGCCACAAGCGGTGCTGGCAACACTGAGCGCCATCTACCCTGGCGAGGTGTACAACAAGATCTACCCGATGCTAGGCGACCTGCTCGACCTGCTGTCGTTGATCAACAGCAGCACGAACTTCATCCTCTACTGCATTATGAGCAGTCAGTTCAGGGACACGTTCGAGCGGATGTTCTTGCCTAGCTTTCTGCGCTGCTGCCGCAAGAAATAGCCATCTACATTTGCCTTCTCTTCCGTAGCAGCGTCGCCGTGCTCGTTACTCTCGTTTACCTCACAACTGCGGACGAAAGAAACAGAGCCGACGCCGCTAGGACAAACTCCTTGAAAGCTCATCGATTCTACGATCGGAAGGGTGCTACCGGCTTTGTCGTCGAATGCGTGCGCCTAATGTTCGTGAAGTATAGCGATTGGTCACCGAACAGATTGCCGTGCAGAAGCATTTGCCAATTCGCTGTTCAAATTATTTCATAATTCACTAAAATTATATTTATCGAAGCTAGTATACATATCAGTCAGTCGGTCGGTCAGTCACTCAGTGAATACCCGACTGTGTACCGCCGAAGTACAGAGCCTGTGACATGGAGGTAGGATAAACGCTCAGGGCTGATGATCTATCAACTTCGGACGACCTTCTAAAGTGTGCAAGACCGATCCTTCCATACAGTAACAAAGATCATCATGTTTGCCTACAATTGAAAGCCTTTGTTTGATTTTCGAATCTGATGCACTGCCTTGAAACATCAACCCGTTTAATAAAACGCCACGAAAAGATGTTGGACGTTTTTCAGCAGTGCTTTCTGCAGAACATTCTGAAAGTGCGACGGTTCCATCGAATAAAAAATGAAAAGATCTTGGAGAGCTCAGAAAAAATCAGGAACTGGTGTCTGTCGTGGTTTGACAGAACCGTCTGGAGAGAGAGAGAGAGAGAGAGAGAATGGAGACTCATCCAAAACCATTTTTTCTGGAAAACAAAAGACAGTGGCGGGCTTGTCGGAGGCCAACATCGCACTCTAAATTAGCTTATTAGCTTGCGACGAGAAATATGAACTTTGCCCAGAAACCAACGCGTCTAAATCGGTCTGAAAAGTCAACGAATCATTAATCTTGGCATTATGTCCTTGACCCTGATACCACAGATAACGATGACAACAACAATAATCAATCAATCACTCACTCACTGACTCATTCTATCACTCACTCACTGATTCATTTGAAGCCATGAAGCAGCTTCCAATATCAAAGCTTAATTATCCATACTGAATTTGATTCTGCACAACATCCTGTTGTATATTATGTCTATTGCTGAAAGCAAAATTCAAAGTATTGCGTAATACTTTGCCTAAACAATATCATCCCTAAAGTATTTCCTAAATTTGAATTTAATTTCCCATCAAAGACTTAATTTCCATATTTGGCACTCGTTTCCACGCTTTACTCATTATCTTGCATTTTCTATATTGTAATGTGTGGACAGCCTTGACTATAGTTTCGGTTTGCAACCGAAATTTCGACATAAAGATGAAGGGTTTGTGGCGCGGACGGCAATTTTTGCTACAGAAGCTAATGTTTGATATGAACATATTTGCAAATTGTCTGCTGTTAAAACACCCGTTGTGATCGATGTGCTCTCTCAACTCAGTTAGCAACCACCGATATGATTTATTCCACCGAAAATTCAGTTCGCAAGTTTTGCATATAAATATTCATTATCACGCTAGGTGGTATTCGAGTATAAATCATATGCTACAGATATTAGCAGTTAGATTTTCTAGATTTACTTTTGTCAATAGAGTTGAGACAAATTGTCGTTTTTTCCAAAGCTGTTAGTCGTTCGAACGTGATGCTTGATAAATGACCGATTTGAAGCTGATCGCTGGTGAACAAGCAGATTTCATTGCGCTTCCGTGGCCGGCGGTTCAGCACCACAGCAGAATGGCGTACTTTCCGACGTAGAAGTAAACGAAACCCCGTACCTGCGGCTCGAACCACACTCCGAACTGTCGTCCGACGACGCAGTTCCAGCTACCTTGATATTTTTTCTCGAAGCCCTGTTTGATGTAGCCGGCGATCTTTTTCGGCGACCTGTACCTCTTCATTGCCTCCATGGTCAGCGTGATGGCCCTATTTTGGTGCGCCAGATCCATGTCGCTCTCCTGAATCTGAGGTCTCATTTTACTCTTGTCCATCGTGATGCCGGCCAGATCGAGTCAAACGTACAATGGTCGGTTAAACATTTCACTGATCGTTCGCTTGCTTCTCAACAGAGATACAGTTTAAAGTAAAAGTGTTCAGTGATGGTATACTGTATGTAACATTCTGCAGTTTAAACACGAATTTAATCGAGTTTAATCGCAGTGGTAATGAAGGGGCGGTACAACACTTTGATTCAGCTCAAAAAATTGCACGCGTAGAAGCTAGTCAATCTCGCAGTAAGTTAATTACTCGTGTCAATGAACGGTTTCATAAAAGATGACTGGGACCACCTAACAAATAAACTCTTTAAGGCCATGAAGCTGCTCCATAGATCAGGTGGTTTACTCCTGAAGGGATCAACGACTAGACGAGCAGAAGGTATGATTCAAAGCGTAGGCATCTATCACATAGACTCATTCTGTCACTCAAGTTGTCTTCGTTTGTGATCGTCCAACAAAGGCACTGACCATTCTTCCACGTTTCCTGTTCGTGCACTTTGCCGCCATCATTGGCAAGTAATTTGACCATCAGGTCGTCCAGTCATGAGGTAGGGCGACTGAGGAGCGGCCTTTTGGTGCAGAGAGGATTCTGTTTCTAATTCTTAACGTCCGCCAATTGTCCGATAGACGAGCAACGATGCCGGCAAGCAACACTCAACTCCGCCAATTTAGAACTCGCACATTCTTCGCTATTTGCGGAACAACCAGATTTCAGTAGTAGACTGGCACTCAGCTCTTAGATCAGGACTAATTCGATGGTTGACTCGAACAATTCATCATTCTTTGTTTCATACGATTAATGCTGTACCACGCCATTTTCCTTCTTCTATTGATTTCCCGTCTAATGACTTTATGCAGTCCACTTTACGGGAAGGGAATACGTACCGGGTGACTTCTTTGAGTCCTTTGCCATACACTGTGATACAACCCTCAGGACAGAGTTCGTTGTGCAACCATTTTGTCTTGGAGGAGTTAACCTAAAATCTTCTGCAACTGCAGAACCTCGGTTGTAGCTCCGCCGTGCCTCACCGCAAACGACTCAGTCGTCCGCAGAGAGGAAATGGTTACCGGTTTTCCATCAGGATTGAATATCAGAGTGGAAATTTAAAATGCAACCCGAAACAATTTACTTTCTGCCAATTGATTTGACATGACCGCAAATGAATAAACGTAAATAATGAAAGAGCACGGTTTCGGTGAAGAATGTATACGAATGGTTGGATGGCTCAGTGGATGGATGACACAAGCCGTGACTCATTCACTCATTCATGACTTCGGTTTGCTGGTGTCACCGCCACAGCAGGATCGCCTGCCGACCGACGTAGTAGTAAATGTAGCATCGTACCTCGTGATCGAACCAGGCGCCAAACTCGCGTCCAACGACGCAATGCCAGCCGGAGCCGCACTTTGCATCGAAGCCCTGCTTGATGTGGCGAGCTATGTTCTTCGACGAATGGAACTTTTCGATGGCTTCCATAGCAAGCATAACCGCAGCGTTCTGCTGTTCCAGCGACATGTCGCTCTCCTGAACCTCAGGCTTCAGTTCAACTTTTTCCATCATGAAACAACCGACCGCTTGAAACCGACTGTTTGACTCTGTTTAGAAAGCCCTTGAAACATGTGCACAGTTTAAAGCAGCTCTAAAGTGGTTCCGTTTAAAGCGAGA